TTAAGCTTTTTTTGTTTTCAGTTTTGTTAAATTTACTTGAAACATACGCATAGCATGCTTTCCCAAGACAATGGCGAATGACTACTTTCATGTTTTCGCGACGTTTCATGACCACAAGAGTACGAACAAATAGGTTTCAAATCAAATTTTATATGCATTTAACTTGTAATTGTTTAAAATAATAAGTAGATTCCTCTACTTGTAATTTATGAATCCAGCTCAAGTTTGTTTTAGTATTTTATTATATTTATTATTTAATCACTCTTGTTCTTTATTCACATAATACTTAAATTGATTAATGGACGGAATAGAGCGACGTTGTGGTTTGCACATGGAAGGTCGCGGGTTCGATTCTCGGCAGATTTTTTTTTTATTGATCAAACCAAGGACGCCACACACAATTTTCTCGACAATTTGAGAATACAGTTCTGAATTTATATACGTGTTGCCGAAATATTGCTTATAACATTTTCAAACGGGAAAACTCACTTCCGCCGCGAATTTTACACATGCTTAATCGTCGAACTCTTTCAATGTATATTGGGTGTCTGGTAAAATGACGGATTAACTCTTCAGTACGTTATGTACGGGAGTTTCGAGAGTCCCAAAAAATTATTTAAAAAAAAATCTTTATAATGTAGATTACGAAAAAAATTTGTGCATATAAGTAAGCTCGTAATATTTCCATATTTTGATCATTTTTTTAAAAAATAGTTATCAGTACTTGCTAAGATAAGACTAATTTTGGCAGATGACATACCTTCTAAGAAAAGAGAGGGTGGGTGGGCGGGCCTAGTACCTGCTAAGATAAAACTGATTTTGGCAAATGACATACCTTCCAAAAAAAGAGAGGGTGGGTGGGCGGGGCTAGTACCCGCTAAGATAAGACTGATTTTGGCAAATGAGATACCCTCTAAAAGTGTGTTTACACTACATGATTTGTCATATGACATTTGCTAAAATAAATTGTATGGAAAGTTCTATGATTTCAAGGAATCACACCATTAACAGACTTTCGGTTTAGGCTACTATGATTTCTCCTATGATTTACAGTTAAGTGAAAATGAACGAGTGAACTGAAATTATCAAATGTAGAAAACCTAACCTAAAAATTGGAGGTTTTTCTTGGTCCAGTATCAGACGACTGGTCGGTGTGTTATAGTGACAATTAATAAGTAAACAATGAATAATCAACAAGTGTCATAATAAGTTACTTACTTTTTGCATTATTAATGACAAATATAAATGTATAAATTACAACGTGCTTGGCAAGGCAACGAATGTAACTCTAACCTAAGTTTCAACTGTCAAAGACTGAGAAACGCGCGAAATTCAAACGAAATCACACACAAAATCTCTTTCTTATATTATTCGAATTAGCACATTGTGATTTACATCTCAAAATTTTTTGCGAATCTTTAGTCAGATCTGATAAAATCAACCACTGAAAAGGAAACAGGGTGGGTGGGCGGGGCCAATTATGATCTTCTGTCGAGTGGGAGTGGAAACTAATAATAGAATCTGGGAGGTGAAAAAAGTAAAAAAAGCGTTAGAAAATTTTTATATCGAGCTATTTTGACGAAACTATAAAAACTGCTATATGTATTTCAATCAACGATTTTGGAAAAACGGTAGAAATTTCCGAAGAAACTAAGCCGAAACTGACTTCTGGATATCGAAATCTACAAGAAAATGGCTTCAACTAATTGGTCGAAAATGTCAGAAGTGCCAAAGACAGTCTTATCTTACCAAATACTAGCCCCGCCCACCCGCCCTCTATTTTCTTGGAAGGTATATTATCTTCCAAAATTAGTCTTATCTTGCAAGTATTAGCCCCGCCCACCCGCCCTCAATTTCCTTGGAAGGTATTATTTCATTGACCAAAATCAGTCTTATCTTAGCAAGAATACTTGCCCTGTCCACCCCCTCTTCTAATTCTAACGACTAATTTTATTTCTGTTCAGTATAAGATCAGTCATTCCATTCAGATCTGATAAAATCAATCACTGACAAGGAGACAGGGTGGGTGGGCGGGGCTAATTATGATCTTCTTTCGAGTGGGGGTGGAAACTAGTCATAGAATCTAGGAGGCGAAAAAAGTAAAAAAAGCGCTACAAAATTTTTATATCGAGCTATTTTGACGAAACTGTAAAAACTGCTATATTTCAATCAACGATTTTGGAAAAACGGTAGAAATTTCCGAAGAAACTAAGCGGAAACTGACTTCTGGATATCGAAATCTACAAGAAAATGGCTTCAACTAATTGGTCGAAAATGTCAGAAGTGCCAAAGACAGTCTTATCTTACCAAATACTAGCCCCGCCCACCCGCCCTCTATTTTCTTGGAACGTATATTATCTACCAAAATTAGTCTTATCTTAACAAGTATTAGCCCCGCCCAACCGCCCTCAATTTTCTTGGAAGGTATTATTTCATTGACCAGAATCAGTCTTATCTTAGCAAGAATACTAGCCCCATCCACCCCCTCTTCTAATTCTAACGACTAATTTTATTTCTGTTCAGTATAAGATCATTCATTCCATTCAGATCTGATAAAATCAATCACTGACAAGGAGACAGGGTGGATGGACGGGGCTAATTATCTTCTAGGGCTAGTACCTGCTAAAATAAGACTGATTTGGCAAATGACATAACTTCCAAGAAAAGAGGGGGTGGGTGGGCGGGGCTAATACCGGCTGAGATAAGACTGATTTTGGTAAATGAGATACCTTCTAAGAAAAGAGAGGGCGGGTGGGCGGGGTTAGAAAAATATCAACTAAAAGTTTTAATAGTAATAGTAATTTCATTCATGAGAAGAATCACTCAGTAATTTTTGATACGTCGTCAATAAAGTCAGAAAAGTAAACCGGAACTATCGAAATTTAAATTTTACAAATTCTTCTAATGAATAAAAATACATACTACTTATTGTGATAATGAATGTGTTGCTTAGTTGTTAAACGTAGCAAAAGAACCAATTTTAAAATCATTATCATTCCACCAAAATGTGAGAAGGATTTTTTTACTATTTTTCCTTCCCAGACTCACCATTTTCCAGACACCCGGTATAAACATAAACAATCGAAGTTAAGCATGTATTTATAGTATGTTTTTCCGTCTATGTTTTAACAATCCACACCATATCTTTACTTTAGGTTATAGAGATTAAATAAGAAACTAAATACAAATTTTAGCATTTTTCGAAAAGTACCATACTTAGTACGTTGACGTAACGTTTCACTTTTATGTAAGATTACCAGATGAAGACTTTTAAGCGTTTTAAATAAATTCAAAAAAATAATCCAGAATAAAAAGTACAGTAGATCTTCTCTCTAATGACATCAATTTTTTGATAGTTTCTTGCAAATATGTTTTTACTTCCTTCCATGTTACAGAATAAACGTAGTCGAAAAATATGATCGCTCATCATGTATTTTATGAATTTTTGGACGAAAATAAGACTAGAAAATTCTGTTTGAGAATTTTTGATCAAAATGTATTTGCTCATCCCCCCTAAAAACTGATAACCTCACCCCAAAATTTTTCTGAAAAAATCCTGTCTAAAATGTACAAAATATGATGAGTCTGTACTTGTGATTTATCATTCCATTAATATTTTTTGGATTTGCGTATACAGGATATCATTATCATACATATTTTTTTCTTCAAACAGAACATCCTGTATTTTATTACACTATGAACTTCAAAAATAGAAATGAACTAAAAAACACAGATAATACAATAATAAAGTAAAGACTGTTCTATGTAGAAAAATTACGATACGACTATTTAAAAACTTGAAAAAACACTTTGATTTTTTTAAAAACACGCTGTGTACCAAGATTCGGTGCTCTTATTGTTTACCTACCACAAGAATATTATTAAAATTGGAATGACTTTGCAACGTTGCATCAGAATTTCAATATTCGTAAATTTTGCCAATTTTGCACTGTTACAATATATATTTTACGGAAAAAAATTAGTTTAATTTTCAGCTAATCAGCGAACGACTAACTCCCTGACCATACACAGACCAAAAATTATAAACCCGAGTTCATTGCCCCGTTAATTGTTCATAACATGCAACAATAAATTGACGTGTCAATTTTAGTTACACTTTTTAAGTTGATAATAAAGTAGTAAAAGATCATCAAACATTCGAGAAATATAGTGTCAAAGTAATTGAAGATGTTCATAGAACCAAGATGGGATTGTGTTTAGAAATAGAGTCACTGTATGTTGTTAGGTGATGTTATATATTTAGATATAGATGACTTTTTTGCGGCGGATGTCCCCCGTGTGGCTTATTTGTACCAATTAACGCAATGTGTAGGGACCCTATCTTGTTAGCGCTATACCATCAGACAAACAACGATTGCTACAAATGTATGGCGCTTTTAATGAATCGCTGAAGAATAAATAAAACATAATTGAAGTCAATTGTAAGCAAGCATTCAACCGTTTATTATTACCTCCACGTTTCACTTGACGCCAACCAAATATAGATATTTTTTTACATTCGCAACGTTATGCAACCAACAATATCCACTAATGATGTTTCTATTTACCATCACGTGTATCAAGTACAAGTGTCGTGTAACTTATTTTTATCTTAATTCCTGCAACCAATCAAACCGCAGCGTGGTCGCGTCGGCGGTTGCAGGACTAGCAGGAGAAACGCAATCCTGCTACGAAGCGTAACGAACGCATCGAGGCGTCAAGGACATGAATGTTTTTGTTATCTAGAAAAATATGGTGATCAGCAGTCGTCATGTGGCAGCTGATGCGGCCAAACTAACATGAATTTCGTCGACGATTACTACGATGCACCGGGAATATACATAAACAAGATCGACGAAGAGCACGACTACGTAGTGGTCTACTTCGTCAACGCGAAAGGTTATCATCCTTGAAACACTCAACCGAAAAATTGTTACCTGTTAAACCGCCTCAGCTCGGATGATTGATCGAGTGAGTAAACAGTGTTTTTCTCGTTGCAGATCTCGACGGCTCGAGCAACAATTTAACGGAGAAGAAGAAAACTGGACCGCCCGAAAATACCACGACATACACGGTGAGTTTTGTTGGGTGTCGGGTAATTAATTTCCTCGGCGCCACTGGCTGTTGGGTGTTAATGAGCGATGCAAATGCGTGTCAGACGGCGAAGCAGAAAGGAATTCGCTGGGTGTACATACTCTTGGTGTAGGTATTGTAGTGGTGATATTGTCATGAAAACAAGTCTTTGTTCGTGGTGGGTATTTATAGAATACAATAGGCCGTACGGCACCCCAGGTTGAAGAGAAGTGGTTGGATTATACCGGGTGATCCAGCTTAATTCGATTGATAAATGTACTAGTTTTGGAAATGTCGTTGGCACGTTCGCGCCATTAAGTGTGCTCAGTTTTGTCGGAAATGACATGCGATTTTTTTTTTTTTTAAATATTGATTTGTATTAATTACTTCTGACTCAGTTCTTTGCGCAATACTGTGTTGATACTGAATTTTTATTAGTGGCCATATTTTTAAAATTATTCGAATTTTATCAAAATTGTAATGGATACAAAAAAAAGTGGTCATTATTTTGAGTATAATTAAAAAATCAGTTACGGTCAAATTTAATTATTGCGATAAGTGAAATGTTCTTAATAAACTGATAAATTATGCCATGCGGTTATTAGGAAATAGCAGCTGTTTGGCTGTAAGCGAAATAAATATTGCGGCACGTTTAAATACATTTTCTATCCAGTGCAGTGTGCTTTTCCAATGAGTTCAGTACCATATTGACAAAAAATATTGGTTTTGGAAAAGCTGTAAGTGAACAGTTTTTACCTAACGTCAATTTTACGAAATAAATTTGCTTTTTAGTGTGTTTTAAGTGTCCTGTAACATGCGTGTACATAAATCAAGAAATGGTTATTTTATTGTAAAATTGAATGGCGCAACAAAATTTAACAACGCTTAAAGTCATAAAACACTATCAACAGTATTCCATACAAAAACTGTATAAAGAACGTCACTTGTGTTTTGTGTTTCGTCTTCTTCATTAAAAAATGTGTAAGTTATTCTGTTTCACGTAGTTGTCGAGTTCGCTAATTAAAAATTTGACTGTATACTCATAAAATATTTATTGAAAAAAATGTTTTGACGGTGATGATATGCAAGGATGATTTTTATATACGTGGAAGTTTCCTTAAAAATATGAAAAACCCGAATACGTTATTGAGAGAGTTAAAAATTTGGGTCAAATTGTCACATTTTTCTCATTGTTGTGGTCTTTAAAATGTGTGTCCTGTCAAGTTCCTGGGAAAAAAATAGCTTTTATGGTGTTTAAATCATTTATTTAGTTTGTACATGAATGTATTTGAATTTTTGAGCAAATGTGTGGTTCTTTAAATTTCTAAACCCAGGATTAAATTAAAGGATTAAAAGGTCAGATCGATAACACCAATTTCCCGAACGTAAGCTAAGGAAGTGGTTTAATCGAGTCTATTGGGCGACTGGCTACTTTTATATTTTCTGGACGTTTCATGACGTCTACACTACGAAAAAATAGGTCTCCCATTTTCGCTTGTCTACCTGTTTGTCCACCGTTTGTGTCGATTGTATTAGATAGACAATAGCCGAAATTACCTGGCCGATTGTTGTCAAATTTTGTACCTACATACTTTGGGAATATTACGCAGATGTCAAATTTTTTATTTTTCAATGTTTGGATTTATCGATTTTACCATTGTTCAGATTCCAGATTTTTCGATTTTTTTTAATTCTAAATTTTTCAATTTTTTTTTTTAACCATAAAATCGAAAAATATTTTATGCTACTTCGATTTCTCAATTCTTCGGTTCTTCATCGTCTCGACTTTTCGATTTCTCGAGTTATGGTGTTTCAATTTTTCAATTTTTAGCCATTTCAGTTTTGGGATTTTTCAGTTTATCGATTTTTTTTTATTTTTCAATTTTTCTGTTCTGCCATTCTTTCATGTTTCGACTTCCCTTTTTTTTAATTTATTAATGTTTCAAGTTTTCGATATTTCAATTTCTCGTCATTTCAATTTTGACAATTTTTCAATTCCTTGATTTTTCGATTTTTTGTTATTTGTATTTTTTTCGATTTTTGCTTCCGATTACAATAGTAAGGAAGTATTGTAATCGAGTCCATTGGGCGACTGGTTACTTTTATATTTTCTCGACGTTTGAAGACTCCTACAGTACGAAAAATAGGTCTCTCATTTTGCCTGTCTGTCTGTCTGTCCACCGTCTGTTTCGATTTTTATTAAAATAATAATATGCGAAATTACCAGACCGCCTGTCATCAAATTTTGTACCTACGGTAGGAATGTTATCTATGTAAAATTTTGGGTTTTTCAAATGTTTGATTTTTGAATATTTCGATTCCTGGATTTATCGAGATTTCGATTTTTTTATTGTTCAAATTCCCGATTGTTTTAAATTCAAAATTTTTCAATTTTAATTTTTTTTCCCCAAGCATAAAGTCCAAAGATATTTTATGCTATTTCGATTTTTTTCGGTTCTTCGTCTTCTCGATTTTTTGAGGTTTCGATTACTCGATGTTTCATTTTTTCGATTTTCCAATTTTTCTATTCTACCATTCTTTCATGTTTCGACTTCCCTATTTTTTAATTTATTAATGTTTCAAATTTTCGATATCTCAATTTTGGGAATTTTTCAATTTCTGGATTTTTAATTTTTCGATTTTTACTTCCGATTACAATAGTAAGGAAGTAAAAATCGAGTAATGTAATCGAGTCCATCGGACGACTGGCTAGTTTAATATTTTTTGATGTTTCGATTGCTCGATTTTTCGGTTTTTCAATTTTTCGTATTTCGATTTTCTATTTTTCTTGTCTTTTCGACTATTCGATTTCTCAATTTTTTGATGTTTCGATTTGTCGATTTCACGGTTTTTCGATTTTTCCACTTTTCGACTTTTCGATTTTTTAAATTTTGGATGTTTCGTTTTTTTGATTTTTTAATTTTCTATTTTACTATTCTTTCATGTTTCGACTTCCCTATTTTCTAATTTATTAATGTTTCAAGTTTTCGATGTCATTTTCCATAATTTCACTTTTGGGAATTTTTCAATTTTTCGATATAAAAATTTTTCCTTTTTTTTAAATTTTAGATTTTTCGGTTTTTACTTCCAATTATAATAGTAAAGAAGTACTGTAATTGAATCCATCGGACGACTGACTACTTTAATATTTTTTGATGTTTCGATTACCCGATTTTTCGACTTTTCGGGTTTTCAATTTTCTCTCCCGTTTCCGTACATATTGCACGTCTGTATATGAAAATTTCCCAATTTTGGAATTTTTTCAAAAAAACATACATTTTTTATTGATTTTTGGATATTTTGAGGAAAATAATGATTCGTATTTTGTTTTTTGTAATTCAACTATGTACTGTTAGCTCTAAAATAGGAAAATAGAGTGCTCTAACTGGCAATATTTTAAATATGTATTATTCCGAATTCAGAGATCTTCAAACTTTTATCCAGATTAAAAAAAAAACTATCTACCGACCTGTGGTACATTATAGACTTGCTTGACTACGAAATAGTATAATTAAAATCGTTTAGAGATCAAGAACTTTCTTTATTTAAAAAAAGGTCAATTGCAATTTGCATAAATTAGCTCCTATTATAACGAAAAAATACCATCATATCACCAAATTAAAAGCTCGAAACTATTTTAAAAGTATGCAGTTTAATGCTCAGACCTCTTTAAATAATACGAAAAAGTTGAAATATCACTTTTTTCAAACCCATTTTAATATTGGCGAAATCATCAGTTCGTTAAGCAAACTACGTGCAAAGTGCCTTTTTTGTATCCGTATTTGAAAAAACCGACCTGCATGAAAGTAGAGCAACTCCATTATGTACCGTCTACACAACCTCAGGTTGCCAAGCAAGCTTGAGAAATAATAAATCAGATAGACGTGATTTACGACGTTATATAATTCCGCACGTAAAACAAACACGGAATCAAGGGAAAACGCCGCCAATTTTTACAATTCTGTTTGGTAGCGAACATGTCGTAAACGCGGTATATTTGATCTGTCGCCAAGTTCAGCTTGGCAGCCCACAGCTGCGTAATTGCCCCTTTAGAAAAACTCGTGTAATGTCGTTCAGTTTATATCGTGTTTCTTTTCTCTCCACCATTTCGGAGCTTGTAAATCGTATTTCTTAGCCCCAAGAAGGAAATTTAATTTTGTGATAGCTTATGTAGTTTTGGTTTTTTCTTAATTCTTTTTTATTTATTTTCGGGGCTGTAAAAGGCGTCCCTTGGCCGCTTGCCTACAATCCGAACATGGGTTATTCCCCCAGGCCGGGTCCTTACGGTCGTTCGAACACAATGATAAATAATTCATAATCGGCGATTGCCGAGCAGTCACTCGTTAATAGATAGTCTAATTGTGCATAAATTCTGTTTTTCGTGAACGGTAAACAGTCGAGTGTCACAGATTTGCAAGCTGCGATTAGTTGTAGTGATTTTAAGTGACGTTCAAGCGTTGTTTACTGCATTGGATTGTACTTTCTGGTTGGGATGGAGGGCTTAATCCAGCAGCGTCATCGCGGGATTTAATTGTATGTTTCCATGGCCACCGTAATTAAATAAAAGAATGAAGAGAGCAGAGAGTTCAAATGTTTAGCTTGGAATTAAGCATTTGATCATGAATTCGTGATAAGGGGGACTGGAACGTGTTATAAAATTTGCATCCTTTTTTACATATTGTTAGGGTTCGGCTGCTCTGCTTTTGTCAGGAAAAAGCCTAATTAGGCATGATGTATGTAGGTGGAGTCTTGAGAGAAATTTTGTTTTTATTATTTAGAAATCGTATTTTTTTGCTAAAAATAAATTAACGTATGTTCAGTGGAATTTATAAGCTACTGTTGAAAACACTCGTGGGAGTATAATGATGTGACGTTAATATTTTGAGTGCTCAAGATTGATGAGGACAATTATTTTGCTCATTATTAAATTGAAAAATTATATTAAAAAGTTGGTGGAAAGTTATTTCGACAGAAGCGCACCCAACAAATCGGTCTTTTTGA